CTTCGGATCAAATCCTCAATGGCCGTTTGTAGGGCCCTGCAGGCATTGGTGGCATGACCCTTCCTGTTGTGATATTTACAGAAAGCATTGTCGTCCGCTCCCATAAACTGTCCAGAATCAGTCGGGAGGGGAATATTGTCCCTCTCGTGCTGATAAATGGTCGCTACTGATAGGACCAGGGGAGTAAATATCCCTTGCTTGGGAGGTATAGCGGCCTCTGGGCTAGGACCCAGCCGATCGGCCATTCTGATCGGGGCAGCAGGCGCAATGACCTTATCCCTGATCATTATCTCCTCTTCTAGGGCGGCATGCTTGCGAGCCCTGTCTAATACCTCGGCGTAGACTGTACCCGGATTCTTCTTTAACTCCTTGTACAACTCCCCCGTTCGGAGATCATTTGTGAACAGGGTAATGGCGGTATCATCCGTCATGTTTCCCACCGTCAAAGTTTCATCCCTCCATCTTTTCAGAAATTGATTGAGGGTCTCTTTGGCGTTTTGCTTCACGCTGGTCAAATAGCTGAAGTGCCGTTTGGGATTAGCACTAGAAGCAAACTGGGCCAAGAATAACGTCGATAACTCGGCAAAGTTGTTGATTGATCCGGGTTGTAGTGTCCCGAACCACTCCTGGGCGGGCCCCCTGAGCGTACTAAAAAACAACCGGCAAATAGCGGCCTCGGGTGCTCCTAGCAGCATGAGTCCCCCTTGGTAACTCCTCAAATGCACATGGGGATCTCCCACCCCGTCATAGATTTGGCCGGTCGGTGGCTTGGCACCCCCTTGGATGTCTGCGTACATGAGTTCCCTAGTAAAAGGGGAAGTAATTCCCAGCTGAATTGGGGCAGGTTGTACAGGTACCCTGTTCATTTGGTCCCGCATCTCATTCATCTGCCTCCTCATCTCGGCCATTTCTTCCTCCTGGGCCGTCAAAGGGGGCGGTGGTGGAGTCCTCATGTCCGTATAGTCCCGGTCCCAATGCCGTTGAGGGGCCCTGGTATTCTCCCGCTCGGTATTCTGGAAATGATGACCAATGGGAGTTGGTCCTCTAGCTTGTGACCCGATCGGGGTTCGGTCACTGGGACTCTGGTGCGCTGTTGGTGGGGCGCTACGTCGATTATCCCGATGAACATGCGAACGGGATGATGCTGTAGTTGTTTCCGTGCGTGGAGTCTCCCCTATAAAGTTGGACCCTCCTTCCTCCTCGTTCGCCATATGCTGCATGACCTGAGCCATGTCTCGCATGGTCTGAGGATTTCTTCTCAGGGATTCGGGAATCACAAAATCCCCATCAAAACGAGGATACGATCCTCGGCTGGATTGTCCTTGAGGGTTTTGACTCCCCGGGGTGTGACTCCTCCCGTGACGGCGTGAACCGTCGTTTGTATGATTGGAGCTGATTCTGACCATTTTTTGAAAATAAAGGTTTTTGGATGATTTGAATGTGAAACTTTTTGCAAGTTTCCCACAGACGGCGCCAATGTTGAGGGTAAATCCCGTAGATCCGAAAGCCCAACACGAACTTTGGATATATCAGGAATGGCCCAGAATCAAAGCGTATAAACAAAATATAAAAGATGAACTCACTAATACTCGAAAGCCCACTTATATTAATTAACCAGTCTGATTACAAGGAATTTCCCGAACGGTAGGTCGGAAACACTGTTTTAATACAAGAAATAAGAGCAATAATGCTATTCTAGAGCCTGAGTATTGAAATGCTAACCCTTACAATGACTTGAAACCTTCTATTTATACTAATGGAGAGCATGGGATGACCTATGCTGATTGGCCGTTGTTCCACCGACTTGGTCATCCATGCTTCCACTTGCTGATGTCACAGTCTGGCATTAATTGTACCTGGCCACTTGCTGTTTGGCCGTTGCCCGAACGGGATGTTGGGCTATGCTGAAGATGCTTTCAAATTGGCCCAAGTATAATATATAGTCCGAACTGTGTTCAGTATGTCTTCTCATTGGGCCAACCCTTATTTGGGCCGAGTCTCGTTCGGCATTATTTCTACTTTGATTATCTTATCATAGCGTGATGGGCCCGTTGTTTGGGCCGGGTATCTTGGGCCTTCCTGACCCGGGTATTGGGCCTCTGGATCAATATCCCAACAGACCTATTTGACCCTTTGGCCAATAATATATTATGAAGTAGTATATGAATGAGAACTGAACAAATTTTAATCAAAAGAAACAAAAGAAACGAGACTAAGAGAGAGATGAAATAAGATAAAATTATACTAGTGAGACTAAGGGCTAGAAAGATTTAATTGGATTTGGCTATTACATAGCATTGGAAATTTAAAAATAACCTACTAATTTCAAATGGGACACCGGGACGGGACATGATATTTTATAGCTATCCCGGTCACGTCTCGGTTAATATCGGTACAGGACCGGTTCGGGATGAAAAAGTTGCATCCTAAATGGACCGAGATAGTTTTGGAACGATATCGGGATTTTTCGGTTTGGGATACCGGAACCGAGATTTTTGCCCACCCCTGCGTGGAAGTAGTGGAACATGGGTTAAGGATGTTTTTATTTTTGTAAAGTAATTTGCTGCCTGATCTAATCTGATCTAATCCGATCTGGTTTATTTAAGTTTGGTCTGATTTGGTTTGAGACTGAAAACGGTCCAAGTAAAAACATCCTAATAAGCTAGTCATTATTTTAGTTTAAGGGTTGTGCAAGGTGTACACATAGGGATGACAACGGGGCGGGTTTGGGGCGGCGGTTCACTCCCCCGTCCCCGCCCCATGTATAAAAAGTTCTCCTCATCCTCGCCTCGTCCCCCGTTAGGCCGTTACTCCCAGACTCACCCCATCCCCGCCCACCCCGTTGTCCCCCATGGGTGCCCACGAGTGCCCCATATCGATTTTTATTTATTCTATTTACATATTTTTTAACCATTTTAGTCCCCTGTCCCTCAATTAAGTGCCCAATTTGACTTTTACGGTCTTCGAGGTGGACTCTTGACCCTAAAAATCTAATAATCTATACTTATAAAATCTATTTTTTAGGAATACTTATAAAATCTAATATAAATTAATATTTGAATAAAATACATTCCAACGAAGTATATAAAATTAATTTCGTATGATAAAGTAATGTAAATTATGAATAGTTAACGATTAAAGTTTATAAAATTTGACCCAAAAGGTGCAACTAGGAACTTAATTGTGAAACGGGTGGAGCATGCGTGTGTAGCACGGAAAGAGTTAAACTAATATATGATATTGTGTTTGATAAAAGTAATTACCACCAATTTTTAGTAATTCTTCGATTTGAATAAGTTATGTGAGGACAATAAAAGTAAAAATATAAGTAAACATATTCTTCCAAATTTCTCATCAATTATAATACAATTAATTATAAATATTATACATATGTGTGCGCGCGTGCATGTGTGTTCTATTTACCCACTTTCTCACTTTTAAAACTCTTATATCATTTATGATAAATATTTTTGGTCATTACTTAAATATTTTGATATAAATGTATTAATATCAAAATGTAGTCATAATAGAGTACATGAATAGTGTATAAATTCCAATGTTGCAACTAATGCGATACACAGGATAGTATGTATTACTCCGTAATTCATTAACCACGACTAAAACGTGTACATGTATGGTATATGTATATGTACATGTATGTCTTTCTTATATACTCCGTACAACATATCATTTAATTAAATAGGTTTATACATTATTTATGTATGTATGTATATATGTGTATATATGTTTGAGTATATATTTATAACGGGGACGGGGCGCAGGGGACGGGGTGAGTGTAGCAATCCCTGTGTGTCGCGAGTTTATTTTGATTCTTGAAGTTGCATTTCATAATATATCATGAAATTACATCTTCTTCTCCGCAAGTTACATCTTGATGTACGCGAGTTGCATCTTAATATACGTGAGTTAAATCTTAATGTATGCGAGTTACACCACGAAATACACTCCAGCTATATCATTTTTATTGCCCTAATATTAAAAATAAAACATATTCACTATTTATAAAAAGTAATAAAGCTATTAGGATCAATTGTTCATTGTTTACATCGAAATCAATTTTATAATATCTCAAACACAAAAAAAATCATTGTTCAATTTTCCAACAAGTTACATTCTGTATACACAAAAGTTACATTTGCTATCAACGCGAGTTTCATTTGTAATAACACGAGCTACATAAACAAAATCAACCCGTGCTATTGAAACAAATAAATGATCATTTCTAAAAAATTATTTTTTATGGCCGTGATATTAAAAACAAAATATATTCCCGTTTTACCTAAAACAATTGTGCAATTAGACTATCATTTTTCATTGTTTACATCGAAATCAATATTTTATTTCTTATACTATGTATTTGACAAGTTACATTTCGAACGGACTTGAGTTACATTGATCAATAACGCGAGTTACATTTCTTTACACGCGAGTTACATCATTCATGCTAAGGGGACAAAAAGAAAAAAAAAACAGTTAGTGTACACGCGTGAACTGTTCACACGTGTACTGTTCACGCGTTTTTTTTTAAAATTGTGCAAAATTACATCATTTTTGGGAGTGGAGCATGATGTTCATGGTCGGCCGGTTGCACCATATACGAACTGAAAACGAACAAATCTAATTAATCATACATTTTATGCCTAAAACTAACGGATCTAAACCTCATACGTAGTACATTTTTTGCTAATGATCCGAGAAAAAAGACCATGAATATTAAAAAAAATAAAATAGTATAAAAAAATCCCATACATTTTTTTATTCTTTCTGTTAGGATGTTTTTACTTGGGGACTGTAATTTGTTAGTCTGGTCTGATCTGAATTGATCTGATTTCTTTGTATTTTTATAACTATAAAAGTCTGCTCTGATCAGTTGGGACAAATTCTTCGGTATGAAATGGAAAACTCAAATTGCAGCATACGGAGGAACGGGAGGAGTATATAGCATAATAGCAAGCGCCCATGCCGCCCAACATATTAAACAATGGTTCATTTTCTTCGCCTTCATAATCTTCTACCAGAAGTAGATGTTAAGTATTTGAAATAGGATGTTTAGATGTTAAATCTCAAATATGCCACTAGTAGCAAATTCAGCAAAATAGGAAAAAGAAGGCAGAAAAGCTAACAATTGAGAAAGCTATAGCAATTTTTTTACACATGTGAGAAAATGAACACATAAAAGCTAACAATCTAATAGAGATCGATGACAGCCTTTGGTGAGGATCTAGGATAATTGAGCAAGGTTTGTCCTATCTTGACAAAGACATCTGTATCTTGAATATGAAGAGAAATCTCCATCTCTTCCAATACTGGTGTCCTCTTAAGAAGGATCCGAGCCAACGTAAGCATTGGTTCACCACCAAGATTTGGATCTGCCAACCGAGACATTTTGATCGTCTTCAGATGCAATAAGTCACAAACCAAATTATCCCTTGCAAGTGGGGCCCAGTTATGGTCCAACTAAAATCACAACAAATTTAAGACAAACTTATACGGAGTATTTAATAATGTGGAGTACCGCAGTAAATGCATATTTTATCATAAAATATTATCAAGTACATAGCAATTATATTAATTACTTGAGACAAAAAAAAATCATACCAAGAATCAAGGATTAAAAAGTTAACACTTACACCTTCGGGGTCAAAAGAACGCATGATCAATGTCTCAATGTCTGGAGAAGATTCGAGTATGTCTAAAATGCCAGGAATGGTTTTCCCGGCACGACATATAAAATCAATTTCCAAACACCTTAGCTTATATTTTGGATGCTGCCAACCATTAAGCACCAGCGCAGCCAGAGCCTAGACATGTTGCAAAGAAACACATGTATTGTAGTTACACAGTATATGCTAAGGTAGATCCGTGCATATATTTGACACAATAAAATAACTTTTGAATAAGGATGAGTTCGGTGTTGACCTAAAATAAAACATGAAACCATGATTTGATTGGTTCAGTTATGCAGATTTTAGCACAAAATTGTTGTCATTTGATTTAAAAAGGGACACAAAAAACAAACCTAATAAGCTTGCAAACAATTAAATTAGCTTACGGCTACTCTTTCCTGAAAACATGTAACAAATCCATGATACTCCTCATGTTGATTCTTTGGTGACAAAGTTTGTCTCTCAAAATTATATCTACACATATTTTTAAAGTTCTGCACAAATCTTTTTTTATCTAAACTTGGTGTCTTTATCGAAAATGTATTTTTCCCATAACTTTCTATACAGGAAACGAAGATTTATCAATTCGGTTCATGCCATGATACAAGTGAAGACCATTTGGAAACATATAAATTCAATGAGACTATTCTATTGAGAGACAACATAAACGAATTCCACTATGTTTGGCTAGAACGTTTGAATTTCAATTCTTGAGACACAATAATGGAAAATAAAATTTGGAGCATCAATACACACCTTAAGGGGTTCAGGACCTAGTTCAAGCTCCTTGACGTGATGAATCTTTTCAAAAAATTCCTGCGTACTACACAGCTCTTCAGGAAGTATAAAATCCCAAAAGGGTTCAATAAAATCAATATTAGCACTAACAAGAGATGAGATGTCTTTGAGGTTTATCTGTCTTCCCATAGGATACAACCAAAGACTCAAATTTGTTATATAGGGTGCTGAAATTTGCAGGAAACCCTCATTTTCTTCATCTTCAGAGTCCCTTATTCGCAGTTCACGTAGACTTTGAGAGTTGATCTCCAAACAAGTGAAACCCCAACACTCACTCAGATCCAAGAAGTTCAAAACAGGACAACCAGATAATATCTTTTCAACTACAGGCTGAGGCAAATTCACTCCTGATATTTCTAACTTAGTCAAAGACCACCACTTGATTGTTCTTTGGGGATCCAAAATGCAACCTTCCAAATATAATGATGTCAAAGATGAACTTGAATACATCATTTCACGAAGAATGTAGAAATCATCTTGACTGTAGTCCATTCTCAAACTGACTTCTTTCACATTATTTTCCAAGGCAAACTGGATCCAATTATCAACATCTGTAGAAAAGCAATCCTCGTAATTGAAATTAACCATCATTTTCTCAAGATAATTTCCACGACGAGTAGCAATTATCCTATTAACCCAAGCCACAAAATCAATTGTATTCTTACTTTCTTTACGTTCAGCCCAATCATAGGAGTCGAATTGAAGGGTCGGTAATTCAGCCCAAAGAAATTGCCATCTTTTCCCCAAAATACTCGTAGTAGCAGCTTCCTTCATACCCAGTAAAGATATGATGTGAACAAGTAAGCAATCCGGCAATGCACTGATCCTATCAATTGAAACTCTAATTAGATTGTTTGTCCTAACATTTTCGTGAGAATCAATTTCTAGATCTTCAGCTCCAAATTCTTCTTTGCGTACATCACTTTCTCCAGATTCTGGAGTTTCTTTTGCTAAACTTTTTTCCCTCATCGAGGTGATATAACACAATCACGAAATTCAAGCACGGACTGTTCGAATCCAAATGACTGAATCTGTTGCCCTTGCTCGGTCAATAACTTTGTCGATCTCTGGAGTGAGAGAAGTACCCTTTGCCAAAAACTACATAGGGACTAGGGTGTATATTCTAATTGTGGACAGGGGCGGATCCAGAATGTTACAACAGGGTAGGCTGAGAAATAAAATTTGAAGACACATACATAACGATATGTCAATACTTAAAAAAAGACAATACTTTACATATTCATCAAAACATTATTTAAGTTGTGCGCAACACACAAATTCAAAGTTTAAAACTCATCAATAATAGAATCTACATTTATATTATTGACAAAATCTCATTCAATATAGATAAGTTTGACATTCCACTTTCGTAAAGAATGATGAAATCACCTTCTTTCCTTTCTTGGCAATATATTGATTATCTATTCTAAGAAACTTTTTAAATATTAGTGACGAGATTTGAATTAAAATACTTCTACGTATAAAACTAATACATCAAAAATGATATAACTAATAAGTAATAGTAATTGTTTTACATTAAACACTTCAATCTAATTCTCAATTTAAAAATTGAATTTAAAATTTTAATTCTTTCTTACATGCCCAAACAATATATACATCTTCTCTAATCTTCAATTGTATATGAAATTGAGATGTATTACAATTAAAAGGACTACAATTATGAATTATATTTTAAACTAATAGAATGAAGACATGTACTAAATTGATAATATCTTTAATCAGTATAATGAATAAACACATTTTTATTACCTACTAAAAAATTCAACTAATAATCTATAATCTAATAGAATTAAAAAACAAACAAAAAAAGTAATAGGCAAAGAGTAATACCTGGACAGCGGGTTGCTGAATTGGGAGAGTCGGAGACAGCTAGAGGCAGGAGGCGAAACTGGAGGAGGCAGGAGGCGAAACTGGAGTGCCGGCCAGGAGGCAGCAACGCGCTAACGCAGGTTGCAGACTCGCAGGGACGCCGACGGCCGACGCGGCGACGCAGGAGTGCGGGACCCTGGACGGCGGGAGGCGGCACAAGTAGGCTGGGCAGCTGGACTGGAGGGCTACTCGAGGACGCTGGACGACGACGGCTGGCCGGATAGGAGTGTGGAGGGCTTCGTGGCTTCTCGCTTGTTGCCTTCCCTAGTTCGCAGCAGCTATGTTTAAAAAACAGGACCCTGCAGGGACCCGGCCTCATGACCGGGTCAAGTGTCAACCCGGAGTCGGTGGATCAACCCGGTCAACGCTCGAAAACCGGTCAAAAATTATATGTCCATATATTAATAATAAACATATAATTATATACAAAATTATAATAAAAAAGTAGTTATTATTCATAATAACCAACTAAGGATAATGCTTATTAAGCATTTAATACACTCTCATAATATTCCAAAGTATAATTTGGTCATATTAGAATATAATGATATTTTTTATTTGTATTGTACACATATAATACGGAGTATAATTTAGCATGATTTTTATTCCTAAATAAATATATAAATATATTACATAGTTTTTCTTTTTACGATATTGAAATTACAATTTTATTGATTTAAAAAATGCAATGAAATTAAAAAAAGAAGTTATTTTTTTTTTGTGGAAAAACACACCCAAAACCGGGGTTTTCCGGGGTTTTCAGTTTTTTGGGTCCGGGTCCGGACCGGATTTTCCCGAGTCAACCGGGTTTTTCTGGTTTTTGAATATTTCCGGGTTTTGAACTAACCGACCCGGGTTTTTGTCCGGGTCAGGTCGGTTTTTTAAACATAGGTTCACAGGTGGAGATGTCAAGCGTGGGAGTGGTGGATCATAGGTAAATAGGCTTGGGCTTGGTGGGTGAGCTAGTCCACCATAACCCCAAATTGTCGCCCCGATCTCAAATCAGCAAGTGATCACACTTTACGTATTTCATTGAGTCGTCACTCCGGTCTCAAACAAAAGTACTTTTGTCGTGTCATCTGTCAAGTCAGTAAGTAATCACATCATGTTTCACTTTACGTATTTCACCGCGGCCCTGTTTGGATGAAATGTTGGGAGGTGGTTAGTAAGTGTTGACAAAGGTCGGCCTGAAAAAAAGATAAGTGTTAAACATAATCTTACTTTATTTGGTAGGGTAAAAATGAAGTGTTTTTATGGAAATTGACAAAATATCCCCATGTCTTTCTTTCTTTCTCCATCTTTCTTGATTAGATACACTACGTATTTTGTTATAGCAATTAGGAGGCTTTCATTCTCCTACCATCTTTCTTTATTATATTGTGATTATAATAGCAACTAGTTTGGCCACGAGCGTTGCGCGATTAGAACAATGCCCAATGAGATCTTATAACATGGACATTTGGCTATTGTTTTTGTGACTACAAAAATGATACCCGTAGAAGGAAAAAATGAATGCAAAGTTGAAGAGATCGAATCACATTATAAGTAATTAATTATTCCCTCTAACCTGCTAAAATTGTCTCATCTTCCCCTTTCATTTCATCTCACTAAGATTCACTCGTACTACGTATAAAACTTGGTAATATTTGCGTGGTTTTAAAATTCTTAATTTATTCTTACTTTATTAATAAGTGTACACCTCCTCTTTGACTCCTTGTGTGCCAATATTAGTGAAACAAAATTACATCAAATCCCATCCAATCTGAAAAGTGGAACATACAATAGTGAAACAAAGGAAATATAATGTCTTTTGGCAGGGAGGGATTGCACTTTATGAAAATAGGACTGCACAATGGCTAAATCTTATTTATAAACTTGATATCACACCACCACCTTTTACATGCCACTTATAAGTTTTAAAGATATAGAATATAAACAGATATTGCTAAACTCACATGTACCTTGTTATCAATGTCTTACAAAGAATCATAATGTGTAATATGCACAAAAGACATATGTTACAATCTAGGATTTGGTGGATTGTACAAATGGGTTCAAATTGAAGAGCAACAACTTTTCAAAGATAGGATATCCTATATCATATTTAGTTCAATTAGCCAATTACACAGGCTAAGTTACATACTTTTATCACATAAACGACATTAAATTATATATACTAAATATATGATGTGTTTGTTAAATTCCTAAGTGCATAATTTGTTAAATTAAACACTTCCCAACACTTCAATTACTAACACCCGGTAACACTCCATCCAAACAAGCCTTAAGATGAATTTCCTGAGTTCGTCCATGGTTATACCCAGGGGCGGATATGACCCATGGCTAGGAAGGGCACAGGCACATGCTAAAAAATATATAATTACTAGTATATATTACCAGGACCGGCCCTGGGCCTGTCTGCCCAGCCTAACCGCACAGGGCCCGGAATTTTGAAGGGCCCAAAAAAAATTGTATTAGCTCCCAGGCTATTAGTTTTTAGCCCAAATCTCTTCCCCCAAATCCCCTCTCCTGCTCTCCACGACATCCCCTCTCCACGACATCGCCCAAGGCCCCAAATCCCCTGCGCAGCAAGTCAGCAACCCACGCCCCAATTACCTCGTAACCCACGACCTCCGCAGCGGCGCAGCTGCAGTCGAACCGCACACCGCCAGTCCGCCACAACCTCAAGCTCCCTGGTCCTGCCACCGCACTCCGCAGCAGCCGCCCGCCTCCGGCCTCCCTCAGACGCTCAGAACCTCAAGCTCCCTACTCCCACGGTCCCGCCTGGCCGTCTCCCTCAGTCCTGTCATCCAGACTTCCGATCAGTTCACTGCATCCAGTTTCATTTATTCATTTAGTTGCTAATTTGCTAAATCTTGTGAACTTTCGATTTATTGAATTGATGAATTTTTTGTTGAATTCTTGTAATTTGTTTATTTTCATATTTAATGTTTGTTGAATTGTTGTGTTGTCGTTATTTGTTGATTTTTTGCAGTTAAAGTAAATCATTATTTGAATTGATAATAAATGTGTAATTTTGTAAATGTGTTTAGCAATTAAAAGTGATAACTTGAGGTTGATAAATTGGTAACTTGAGGTTGATAAATTATAATTATACACTAGTATAGTCATTCATGCTTTCATCCTAATTTTAAACTGAATATTAATTTAAAATTTATAAACATGTACAGAGGTAAGGTGGCAGGGGAGTGGTAGCGTGGTTAGATATGGACGACTAGGATTGCAGGTATTGGTGTGGCGGTTGGGGAGGGAGCTAGCATTGGGAAGGTCAGATGAAGAGGTGGGTGGCTGCTAGGAAGGGTGTTATGGAGGGGGGCTGTGGCAGGACAAGGGAGGGGAGGGGATGGGGAGAGGGTGCAGGGGCGGGGCGGTCGGACTCACTAATCCCAGAGATTGGTAAACTCTATAAACAAAATGTTGCATCTGATACTAGAATGAAAATAAAAAATAATTGAAGAGTTATGAATAGACAAACAAAAATATGAAAGATAGTACTTCATCCATCCTGCTAGAAGGTTCCCGTGAACGGTTTACGATGCTTGACTGACGATAAAACAACTTAATCCCCGTTCACACTTTGATTATTTTTAGTAAATAAAATTAACATATTCAGAAACTACATTAAAACCGCTACAAAGCCTGATAAAAAATGCAAATTTGGTATAAAAAAATTGATTCATTAAACGGTTTACGATGCTTGCAAGTTTTTTGAATCCGCGCCATCAACATCCATGTTTGCTTGAACTCCATCCTCGCTTGCCAGCTCAACGACCCTGCATTTCCTTGGTTCTTCTGGTGGAGTAACAACTTCCTTGCCATTTGAAATTAGACCTTCCACCACATAGCTTCCCTGATCCATTCTATTGATGCCTGAGACCACCACATCATCCCTTTTGTCAAGAACGAGAATGGAAAGTAGCTAGGAGATTTAGTTGCCAGAAATAGTATGTCTATTATTTGAACCGAACTTGCTTTTTATAGGCGATTACAAATGGTAACTGCCGAATATAATAATGATCAATTAATTACAACATTAATACGGAATTAATTACATAATTAATATCACATTGATTGTGGGCCGTTACTCTTTCTCGTTGGCTGGCAGGTCGGCCTGGCTGGCAGACAGAACGCTTGAGCTCCTCGTACGGCAGACTTCCGCTAGACTGGAAGGCAGGCCGCTGACCGGGCTGGAAGGCAGGCTCCTGGCCGGGCCGGAAGGCAGGCTCCTGGCTGGGCTGGAAGGCAGGCCGCTGGCCGGGCTGGAAGGCAGGCTCTCCGTTGGGCTGGATGACAGGCTCTCTTGGGTTTCCGCTCCCTAATTGGCCTGATCGGTTGGGCCGACTCGAGCTCTGGGTTGCTGGGCTTGGGCCTGCTGATCCAAGTTCGGGGTCTGGGCCTAGTCCCAGAACTGTCGGAAAGCTTCGCAGTCAAACTGCCTTCCATTGTCGGAGATTATTTGGAGGGGAACCCCAAACCGGCAAAAAATATTCTTCCATATGAACTTCTTACATTGGAGATGCGTGATGCTGGCGAGCGGCTCGGCCTCAACCCACTTTGTAAAGTAGTCCACTACGACGATGACAAACTTTCGGTTGCCCAACCCGGTTGGCAAGGGACCGACCAGGTCGACGCCCCATCTTGTGAATGGAAGGGCGGTGCAGATCGGTGTGTACATCGTTGTTGGCCGGTCGGGACTCTTCTGAAACCTTTGACATGTCTCACATCTCCTTGCATAGTCGGCGCAATCCTTTATTATTGTCGGCCAAAAATACCCCTAGAGGACGACCTTCCTAGCTATCGTGCATGCTCCCTGGTGTGCGGAGCACACTCCCCCGTGGAGCTCAGAGACGATCATGTCCGCCTCGTGTGGGCGCAAACACTTTAGTAGGGTCCCATTGTAGGACCTCTTGTACAGCTTCTCGTCCAAGACGACGTAGCCCGGAGCTCGTCGCCGGACTAGCCTTGGCTCCTCTTCTCTATCGGGGAGCGTCCCGTCGGCTATGTAGCGCAGGAGGTCATCCACCCAGCACCAGGCGACCGGTTGCTGGGGAAGGACCTTGAGGGGCGGTGAGGCTGTTATGCTTGAGGTCGTCATCTCCTCAATGCGTGCGATTCTCGATATGTGTTCAGGCAGCCCCTGGGATAGCTTCAAGAGGAGGTCAGCGTCCGAGTTTTGATTCCTCGGGACGCAGATCAACTCTGCTTGTTTAAACAGCCCGAGCAACTCCCGAACAGCATTTCGGTACTTCATCATTCTTTCTTCCTTCGCTTC